CTCTGAAAGCCAGGCTTACATACACAGCTGTAGTGCTCTGCACATAAATGACCTTTTTCTCTTCCAAGTGGATTAACTTATGTAGGGCTCAGCAAACACTATTATGTTTCTTGCTAGTTCTGTCTTTCAGTTAGTTTTGGATAAATATTAATGTTAACTTGCATAGCAAGCATAAAATCATCCTATTCTAGTAGTGTTTGTGCATGGTCAGAAATGCTTTTATACTGTGTATTGACAAGATGGTTTAAATATACACTGGTTTGCATTAACAAAACTTTTTCTGAGACATCTTTCATTATTTTTGTAAATGCCTTGATCCAGCCTCGAGGCAGTTACGGGGCTGTTTTACTAACCCAATTAAGGTGCGGCTGGGTTAGAATAGAATGAGCAATGCAGCTTTAAAGTCTAAAGCGCTTTGGGAATTCTTCTTGAAGGCAGTAAGAAGTTCAAGTTATGAACTTGGCTAAACCAAGTTCAAAATATAAACAAAATTAATACTTTACTATAGTTCCTGCCATTTTACAGTATCATTTTCTCTCTTGACACTGATGTTTCATTGTGTGTACTCTGTGGACTGCATTCTCAGATTACTGTAGAGAGAGAAGGGAATAAAATAGAAATAGGCTTTTTGGTGTTCTCGATGATATAACTGGAATGATTTGCTATTTAATGGAAATCAGAATAGGGCCTGATGTGGGTTTTGGGGTTTTTTTTGCATTCGCTAAGTGAAGCTTATTGACTGTCAAACAATTCCATTGCGGATCTACCTGAACGTACCGTGGTAGTGGTTAAGTTCAAAGTACCTGCAGTGAAAAAAGCACATTAAACTACTGGAGTGTTTCATAAAAGCAGCATCTGTGCTGACAAATGCCTCTATTAAAATTGTGTTTCCAGCGTTGGGCAATGCTACATTGGTCAAGGAGGCCATTAGGAACTGAAAGAAATTTAATAGGGAAATTAAAATCTCATTTAAATAATTAAACTCAGCCTATGTAATGTTAGCATAACTGGCATATGCTGAAAACTTAATTTGTAGTACAGACATTCTATGCCTTGCTTAAAACATGTTTAGTGTTTTCTGTGCTCATCTTTATTTGGCTTCATATTCCTCTGTAGGGTACAATGTTAATGCACCGCCATCCAGAATACCATTCCAGATGAGACTAATGAAGACCAGAAACGACTTCAGTGCTTAACATACATAAAATGACTCGTTTTCTTAGCTCATTTACTGACATAATAGTGTAAGGGAGTTGGAGGGCCAAATCATCAGGGAATAGGAAAGGCAGCTAGTTAAACTTACAGCTATTGCAGAAAGACAGTAGAGATAAACTGGAAGGTGTATCTGCTAAACAAATCTCTCTTGTATTTCTAGGTGTGGTCACTGTAAGAACTTGGCTCCAACTTGGGAGAACCTTGCCAAAGAGCAATTTCCAGGTTTGACTGACGTCAAAATAGCAGAAGTAGACTGCACTGTGGAACGTAACGTCTGCAACAGATTTTCTGTAAGTGTGAAAGATCTGAAATGAACGGGATAGTATTGTGAACCAAACGTTAGAGGCTGTAGCGTGCAGCTGAGCCAGCTGCTGTATCACGGGTGCCTGGTGACAGTGCAGCTGTGTTCTCCATTAGCCAAAAAAAAAAAAAGAGGTGGTTCAGAACAGCACCTGGTGACACCGTTTCTTTCCTGGACTGTTAGTTCAGACTTGGTCATTCTCATTATTGGATAAAACTGAAGCAGCCCCTAATTTAAGAAGCCTCCCTCTGTGAAAGCACCAAAGCAATCTTGCAAATGCAAGATGCAAAGCCGATGCAAAGTTCTGTTCCTAGGGGAAAAAAAGTGTCTTTTGGTGCTGGTAGGCAGACAACTGAAGACAGAGCTGGAGCTGCCATTCCAAGAGCCTAGAGGAACATGCATAGGCCCATTCACTTACAAGTGTTCAGAAATCACAGGTTGGCAGTGGAAGTTCTGATGTGGTGTTTGCGTTTGTTTGCTTGGGTTTGGTTGGGGTTGGTTTTTTTTTTTTTTAATTAAAGTGTCTCATTGTTTTAGAGGGGTTTGGTGGCTTTGCAGAGTCAGGTAAATACAAGTGAAGACTACCAGTGAGTTTGGACACTAGTAACAGGTTTCCTATTTTTTTTTTTTTGTGTGTGTGTGTGCGTGTCTCTTGAAGGTACGTGGTTATCCTACACTTCTGCTTTTCCGAGGTGGGAAGAAAGTCAGTGAACACAATGGAACAAGAGACCTTGAATCCCTGCATAGCTTTGTCCTGCGTCAGGCAAGGGATGAATTGTAATAAAAGTCTGGATGCTCTGTCCCTGGCTGTCTTTGTACAGTAGCTGAGGGATTTCTATCATTGCTAATTTTCAAAGAGTGTATTTGGGGGGGGGGAGGGGGATTGGGGCTTTTGTTAGTTTGTTTTTGGGAACTTGAATGTACTCAACGTTGGTATCTTCCCTCTGTGTGTGTGTTAAAGACATGCTACCGTGTGTGAAGGAAAACTAACAAGTAGTTACTGTGCAAATTGAGAATATTTTCAGCATTGGTAGTATTACTGCATTTCTGCGTTCCCGCAATGAAGTGTAAATGGTTTCCTTTGAGACTAAAATACATTAAGAAAACCAACTTAAGGGCACCAGTAGAATATTTTTGTTTTCAGGTTAGATTTGGTTAAAAAAGTAATCTTTACAAACTGCCCACCATTACTAGAAAGGTAAAAGCTACAGCTGTGTTGAGTCACTTCTGCCTCTACCACTGTACTTAAACCCTATTTGTCTTAATATAGTTGCTGGTTAAGAAATGGAAAGTCATGGGAGGTTGAAAACACACACACACCCCTCTTTGGAAGATACCAGGCCACCATGAGCTGGTTGTTTCCTGTTAATCCTCTCAGCATGGGAGGTGTAGCCATAATGGAAGTGATGGTACTGTAACGTGTGCCTGAACATTACCAATGCCATAGCATACGTCTGTCAGGCAGATTTTTCGTAGGCTGCTTCCGTCCAGCTCCAGAGGAGTAACTGTGCTCTACTCGCATCGAGCCAAAGTGAATAGGCGCTAACTGCTCCGTTAATATTAAATGATCGGTTAGACTTCAGAACTGAATCTAGACTTTGTGCTGACCTGCTCCTTATTCAGGGGACTGACTTAGAGAACAACAAGTAGTACAATGTTTTGTTTGTTTTTTTTCATTCAGCTGTTCTACAGTAGAGTAAAATCGTTCCCCACTCTTCTTGAGCCTTAACCTTTTTCCAAGTGGTAAGCGTTGTTAAGTTTGAATGCTAGGACCATGCACTCTGTGGTGCCTTGGATTATAATATGGCTCTATTCTTTGGTGCATAAGATGTTCCACGTTAGACATAATTGAAAGCCAAAGCATTTACACCGCAGAGACTGTCATGATACAAAGAGGACAGCAAACGAAGGACTGAATTCTGGCATCTCGTATGCACAGAAACGCATGGAATGAGGATGGCTACAGGCTAATATGACTATCTGTCAAGATGCTGATTTTTATCCATCATATGGAGTCAGTTGGGGTGGGGTTTTTTTAAAAAAAAAAAAAAGGTGCAAAAGAGCAATGAACGCTTAAATTGGTGAATTTCTCCTGGTACTTCACTTCACTGTTTGTCCAGAACTTTTGATTCTGTTCAATCTAAAACTGTGTAAGGGTGAAAAAGCCACAGTGAAAGCTAAAAGTCTGTTCCTGGCAGATGTATTGGATCAATGTACATACTTCTGCCTTAAAGTAAGCCTTTATTATCACGTTTTTTAACAACTTTCTAGTGAAGCACAATCTCATGAGTTTCTTGTATAAAATCAAAGTGGTACAATTGTTTACACTTGAGATTTTTTCCAAATAAAAACTTTTTAAAAAAGCAGTCTTTCTATAAATGATACAGCACAATGAATATACAGTGACAAGTGCAATAAATTATAGCCTGTATTTACAAGAAGCCTTTTAAATGCAAGAATTGGAGGTAAGTGCATTTAATACAAGTTTAATATTGATTGAAACAATTTGCTATCAGCTTCTGCTAGACAAACCGTGGCTACACTGTGAATGTATCCTTTATACCAGTTTGTTAGTTGCGTGAGGTGAAGGGGAAAGGTTGGCCAAAGACTTGCATATGTTGTTGACATTCTGTCTTCCTGTAAATAAATTGTCCAGCTAGAGAATGAATGGCCCCTAAACTTTTACGTCTGAATTACAGCTGTAGAAGCATCCCAACTTCCTTCCTGGACAAGTGGTAGTAGATGAGGCAGCTCCGCAGGGGGAATGGAAGGAAGTTGGGTAAGAACAAGTGTATAAAGCTATATTGCTCAGACAAATAGCGAGCTGGAAAGACCAGGCAGGGCCGGCGTTCATGCTAGTGTTTCTAACACAAGGGTGCAGCCAGGCCAGCTTAAGCTTGCAGGATCAGACTTAAACTGTGCTCGGCAAATAAGAGAACTGAAACATTTGCTTTGGCACAATTTAAGATGCTTACTGCCCTCACGGATTTCACGAGGAGGCTAATGCTCCAGGCGTAGTAACTCATCCTTCTAGACAAAAAGGCAATTCCTAGCCTTAGGAATTTTTTATTATGTTGTACAAGATGTACACTTTAAGTCTGAAGTACTAACACCACTTTCTTTAGCTTCCCCGTCTCTCCCCTCATCTTCCCACCCAAAAAAACCCTCACTTGTTTTGGGTATTAGACGCCATCTGGTAAAACTGCAGCAAACATCCAAGCAATGGCTAAGGCCAAGCTGCTATGTGAGATTAAGACTGTCCCAGCCCAGTAAAGCCTGTGTGGGCACATCGCTGCTTTGCACACCCCAGCTCTGCAGAGCTGAGCAGCCACCGCAGCACAGGCTCAGTCTGTAAGAAGTCCAGCGGTTTGCTCGCGCCCCAGCGTGCGGTCCTCACCCCTTCCTCCCAACAAGGCACATACATGGTGTTTTAAAAGGTGGTTCATCAATTTTTTTTCTTTTTTTTTTTTTTTTCCCTCTCCAAGGTCAGGTAGTTCACGAAAGCATGGAAGGTAGTATGGAAGTTCATGGTAGAATCACAGAGTCCGTGTGAAGACTGTTTGTCAGTGACATCCACAAGCTCTTACTACCATATTCCTGTATTTCTTCAAGATTACGTTAGAATTATCATCAAAATAAAGAACAGATATGGCATTTAGTTTGGTAGGTGCACAGCATGGTTTGGGAACGTAATCAGGATTCATAAGATGAACCTGTTGCCAAAGAAGAAAATACAACTGAGACAATGGTAACTTGTTTACAAATTCACCTATTGCTTTGGCATCGAGCGTCCTGGAGACTTACCAGCGTTTGTACAATGGCATGATTGGTTGCGTTCATATGGGCGTTGAGTGGGAACGAGCACTCCCCATCACAGTAGTTGGCTGCGTAGCCCTTTGGAGCGATTATCCAGTCCTTTTTAGGAAACAAACAGAACGTGATTCAAATTAAAGAGTTGCCAACTTACAGAGACAACTGCATGCAATTAAGAGCAGCTGAAAATTTTCCACTAACTTTCTTTCTTGAGGGCAAAAATGTGTTTTCACTGAAAATGTTAGGGTTGGGGTTTTTTTGGGTTGGTGGTTCTTGGTTTTGCTTTTTTTTTTTTTGGTAAGCCATGACTTTCCATGGACACACTGATTTTAATGTCCAAAGAATGGTGCACATCTATGCCATGAACTAAAAGAATTTTACTCCTCAAACTCTTGCTGGGTTGCCTTGTGGGGCTTGTGGTTTGGATGCTTTTGTGTTCTGACATTTCCCGCAGGTTAGGCCCTCTGGCTGAACTACCTTTCCTAGGCTGAATCACAGCCTCAGCTGGTGTCCCCTCCCAGAGAAAATCATGAGCGTGCACACACGCACACAGAATTCAGCCAGGGAGCTCCAGAACGGGAATATAAAACACTGGTGTGGTGCCTCACTCTACCTTACATGCTCTTATACAGGGACGCTACTCTGCTGAGGCCACTGCGGGACATCAAAGCTGCGTAACAGCTTCTCCACCTCTTCCAGGCTCCTAAAGGAGGGGCAGGGCAGCCAGCCTGAGTGGCACGTGAAAGCACGTGGCCCCCGTGGCGATCTATGGAAGAAGGTGACTCTTCACCAAAGGGCTAAGAGGGAAAAAAAAAAAAATTACAACTTCTCTGCTGCTGACACAAAAGAGCCAAAGGTAAATTAAAAGCATCACCAATTAGCAGGAGACATTTCGCCTCCCTTGGTGTCAAGCTCTGCAGGTCACCCCGCAGGAGGACGTACTGGTATGCTTCACATACATACATATAAGTCTTAGTCAATTCCCCCTTTACCTGACAGCAATTACCTGGGCTAGCTTGAATTTTGCCACAGAGACTGTTGCTGCAGCTTTGCTAGCCAAGTTTGCTGTTTGATTGCTAACAGGAGGACACCTGGGCATAGCAAACCCACCATTTTACTGTACCAGCTCACCCATAATTTGGTCCTGGTAAACCGAGCTGCTTGTCATAAAACAGTCGCTCTCGTGCTACAGAATCCAGTACAGACCATGTAATTAAATTTGTGGTTTAATGCGGTGTAAGACTAAGGGAAGAAGTGCTCTACTACTAAAAACAATTGATGCTTAAAAAAAATAAAATTGATGGATGTTCTAAAGGAGCAGTGCCCAACAACTGCAGGGGGCTGCTGCCCTGCCTCCATCATCTCCCTGCAAGTAGGATCTGGATTCCAGCTCCTGCAAAGAGCCCTTCTGGTCTCTGGCCTTCCTTTGGCAGCGTCCTTCTTACCTTTCTGCTCAAGCCTACAACTAGAAAGGTGGAGGCAGGGCCTCTGAGGCGGGGAACTGCACAACTGGAATACGCTTCCTGCTGGGAAGCGGGGCAAGGGAGCTAAGGAGGAGGTAGAAAGACTGCGCACAAGTAAAAAGAAAAAAGCCGCTAACAAGTAATGGGGAACGGAGTCAGCACGCAGCCACAGTTGTGGCTAGCGGGGTGAGTTGACATAAGCTACAAAAAATGCTGCTGTCCCATTAGCTGGGAGAGGACTTACATGTGTAAGGTATTACAGAAGCAGCGGGGGCAGCCCTGGCATCCTGAATTATAATCTGGTAAAAACATTAGCTGATAGAAATGGGGCCTCCCTCGCAAAAGAGCTGAATGAAAGACTAAAAAAAAATTTTTTTTAAAAAAGAAGAGACAATGATGAGGGCATTCTTTGAAATGTCATGTTTGATGAGACTATGGCCTGGTCCTAAATAACTTTAAACAACTCTGGCTTCACAGCGTTGCAACTAAACCCAGTCTTCAGTCCACCTACCACAGCTGGTGCTAATTGTGGGGCAGGGGTGGATGACTTCAAAAAGGTTAAAATTAGGCCGATGGCTAGAAAAAACTCAATTTGGTTAAAAACACTGCTTAACATCAGATTTTTTTTTCCCTTATCATTAGAGGTACACAGATATAAGCCCTTGCCCGTACCGTGACTCCCATGAGTGACAGAGAACGACTGTATGCTCGAATCTCATAAAGTATCAAGCTTCCTCTGGATCTTATCAAATGTCACAACTATCAATATTTATTTGCCCTTCCCTGTGACTGGTTTTAGTGAGGAGGCACGAGGGACATTTTAAAGCATAATGGCAGCCTCGAGTGGAATTACCGTGACACTGTTTAGATAACATTTCATAACAAAATGTCTAGTTTACCCGGAGAGAAACATCACACACCTGCCATCCCAAGTCTTGGAAGCTAACGTAAAGCTCATGCTTTCTGCACGCTGTTTTTAAGTCACTGCTGTTGTAATCTGTTAAAAGAAAAAGAACAAAACAGGAATTTAGAAAGTAAAACAGGCAGAGAGCGTCGCTGGAGGGCACAGCTGGCCAGATGTGTGCACGCTGCGGGCTCAGCAGCGAGAAACGGCGAGCTCCCTCAGCAGCCAAAAGGGTAAGGGTGTGGAGGGACATCCAAAGCAGGGCTGAAGCTTTTAAGATGCCTCTGGGAACGGAGGCACCCACCTAACAGTGACTTAGTTATAATTCCTTCAGCTGCCTTTAACAACTTGACAAGCAGTGCTTGTAAAACACCTCCAGTAAAATGACTTCTTAAAAATAAATCTACTCCTTCAGCCCGGCACAGGCTGAGTGCTCCAACTCACCCTGCTTCTTCGGCTGTGGTTTCTGACGTGTGCCGCCCTCGGTGGTAAGCTCAAAATGCCCGAGAGAATTACAACCCCGGGAAGGTTAATCATCGCCTTGTGCCCCTCTACCGGTTAGCAGAAGTCCTTAAACAGCTAAGATGTCCGTGGCAATGGACATGGCATGGCATGACATGACATGGCAGTGAAGCCGTGTCCCCGTCCCTCTCTGTGCCTTCCCCCCAGCCTGCCCCAGACATCACACATGGGTCCAGGCACCACCTCCGCTCTCGGACCCTTACAAGCCATGCGCTGAAAAACAAATTTCTCCTTCCCACAACCTGCTTATCGGCAGATGACACAGGATTCCCCACGCCCTCAGCATTCACTCGCTCCTTGGTGCCAACACTGTACGGGAGAGTGGGGGAGCAGGGTACCAAGCCCTGACCAGAGACCTTCCCCCCTTGCCGCGGCGCAACGTACGAGGATGCAGGAGCTGCTCCCGATGGCCCGACAAAATGCAGCTTTTGACAGCGAGTGGAATTTCCCATTTATATTTGGAAAGAGAGGCGGCTCCGCACGCGAACACCTG